AAAAAAAAAAAAAAAAACGAAGTCCAGATGACATGATTCAACTTTTTTGTTGTCTTGTATGATTGTTTGAGGATGTTTTTTAAAGAGGTCAAGAGCCGTTCCAGGTTTTAAAACGTGGCGGGGGGTTAAACACAAACTGCAGATCAGCTTAATCACCTGCAGCAGTCCCCTCTCATGCATAATGCATCAAACTCTTATTACAAGTCTGCTGGGAAAACACAGCAGAGATTTACATGAATATTTAATCAAACTTCAAAGTCCAAACTGAGGAGACCCCCCTCCAGAGTGTGTGTGTGTTTTCAGTAATGAAGTGGACCCCGGGGGTCAAAGGTTGTGTATTAATATGTCAGGTGGAGACATAATAATAATAATCTGTTAAACAAGACGAGGGAACAGACAGATGATGCAAACAGGCACAAGAATCAGTATCTCGACCCGCTCCTGACCCGGTACAACACATTTACGCGTCTGATTCTCGCCTCTCCTCAGATGACAGCGCGTCGGCCGCCAGCAGCATGGAGGTGGCCGATCGCATCGCCTCCCTGGAGCAGAGAGTCCAGATGCAGGAGGACGAGATCCAGCTGCTCAAGTCTGCTCTGGCCGATGTGGTTCGGAGACTGAACCTGTCTGAGGAGCAGCAGGCCCTGGGGACACGACGAGGACCCACAAAAGGTAACACTCTGTCCAGAAGCTGGATTTAAAAAAACTGTTTTCACAATCTGACTTGTCTCTCCATCTTCTGGGCCCTTGTGTTTTTAAATGCATTAAATATAGACCCTGCTATGATGAGAAAATCCCCGTCAGCAGACAGCCATGTTGGGAAGTCAGGTAGGCTGACTGTGGTCTGGCTGATTTATGTAACCACTTCACTCTGCAAGCATCTTGCATGGTAGACATGAAATAGTTTTGCACCTTGATACAACTGGCAACAATGGTGTACCACAAGGCTCAGTCTTAGGACCCACCCTCTTCACATTCTACATAAGCAATGTAGGTCAGTTCATTCCTGATTCATCCTTACACCTCTATGCCGACAACACAGTTGTTTATTGTCGAGCTAGAACAGTTGCTAAGGTTTTCCAGCTTTTACAGTCTGCAATCAACATCATCCAGTCAGATTTGTTCTGTCACAAACTGGTGCTAAATGCTGATAAAAACCAAAGGGATGTTGTTTTCAAACAGGAAGTCGATACCAGCAGTTCTTCCTTCTATCTCATCTACAAATGGTGTTCCTATTGAGTTTGTAGATTCTTACAAATATTTGGGAATCTTGGTCGATTTGCATCTCTCTTTTAAGCTTCACATCTAAAACAGGTCTCTCTTGTAAACAAGTCCTCATGACTCAATGAGACTAACCTGTATAAATAAAGGTTGAATGAAAAAAGAAAAAGTTTTAGGACCTGCATACATAAAGATTTGTATGAGGACTCAGTGTCACTATAATAAGAATAAAATTCACCTGAACCAGTTTAAAGTCTTAAATTAATAAACTAGATGCAGGTTAATTGTAACGTCACTCTAAGACTGGTTTGATTTGCTCATCTAATTCACTGTAAGTGAACAAATAAGTAGATATTCTAAGTTGTTTCTTTAATTTGAGTCGGGATGTGTTTTTACTCACGAGGGAAATCTTCACACTGTGTTGTGCTTTCAGTGTTTGAAGCAAAATGACCTCATCTGAGCGTGATCAACAGCATTTTTCTGCTTCTTTTAGCAACAATTCAAAATATGTAAAACGTCAGCAGCGATGTTTGTCATGAGCTCGTCTGATGTTTGAATGTGAAGTCAAACACACTTCAAGAGTTTTATATGGCCTAAAGAATTAACTGATGAGGCCGAAACATGAGGTGAGCTGCTGCCAGAGTTATTGTGGATGAATTGAGTTTCACTTTAGTTCAGGAGGATGACTCAACACTCTCAACACACTCACTGACGAACACAAACTCTTATGATTTTTATCATATAAATATGGCACCAATGTAAACTGGGCAAAGCAGCTTGGATTTTTCCTTCCAAGTGGCATTTGCTACAGTGAAACAAAAACATGTTTGAACCTTTGTCAGTCAATAACATAGGTTCACATGTTTTTCTTCTATATTTCTTACCTACAGCGCCTTTAATTCTAGTTTTTTTTTCCTCAGCAGCTTAGAATGTTATCAGCCATTAAACGGCCGTTATTAGTTGTTATCATCCCCATAAGTTGCCTTCAGACTGTCCATCCTGTACCTCCTAGTAGGTTTAAAGGCACGTTCTTATCGCTGATAATATGCCACTTTGCCAGCATGTAAAACTGTAAGCTTTTTGTTGTTAACCCTTTTCCTAAACCTAATCTTACACCAAAACTTAATCTCCTGACCTTTGACATATAATCAGCAATAAGAATGCACCTTTAAACCTACTAGGAGGTACAGGAGGGACAGTGTGAAGGCAACCTATGGGGATGATAAGTAATAACGGCCATTTAATGGCTGATAACATTTGAAGTGGGTGTTTTTTCTCCTGTTTCTTGGAGGCACCCCTCCCAAAAGGCCTAGTTGGCTCAGATTTTTCAGCTGTTCTAATGTCTAACTCTGGATCAGCTTCTCATTCTTTGTGTTTGCAGAATAACTAAACACAAAGCAGACGTGCAGATGTTACATTTTTTTTGGACAGGTAGAAGCAGACAGACATTTTTTTTAGCTGAATGCAGACTTTCAGTTTGAAAATAACAAGTGAAAATACATTAAAGGTGAATTTTCTATTCTATACTGTCTGTCTGTATGTGACGTTACTAAAGCTGACACTGACAGAAGCTCTGCTGTTCTTTTCTTTTCTCCAGCCAGGCCGATGATTGCCACTCTGCCATTACGGCCCACAGTAAACAACGGGACCGTCCTACCAAAGAAAGGCACCATGCCCTCTCCGTCCGGATCTGGATCCAGGAAGGACGGCAGCGCAGCAGCCAACAAGAGGTGAGGACACAGAACCTGCACCCCCCCCAACGAATTCCAGACTGAGTTTTTGGGAAACATTTAACTTCTTACAGCAGGGATAGACTTGATCTGAGCAGAGTGTGTAGCCCTGCTTCACTGCTCTGTCAGGCCTCAGTAACTCTGGTGGAAAGGTTCGGCCCACACAGCCAGGCTGAGAGTTTTATCTTTTCACAAGAGACGTCTCCGTTTATATCTGTCTCTGCTGTTTCAGCCATAACATTTCAGTCATTTATATCAGCCGAAGCCTTTGACATTTAACAGATCTGATACAACAAGAGGCACCACTGTCAGCGCGGTGTGTGTGTGTGTGTGTGTGTGTGGACAAGTGAAGGCCAAGTTATAAATCTTCTCTGCCAAGAGAATAATAGCCTTTTCCCTATCCTGGATGACATTATCATAATTCAATGAGGCCTGCAGACACCAGAGATCTGCTCCAGTCCAAACAGATGTTCCTTCTCTAATTGGGGGGAGGGAGAACGTTTTTAAATCTTGCCAACGCTCATTTTGAGGTTTACTGAAGAAACTGTGCTTGAACTGAAACGTGTAAGAGTTCGTTTTTACTGTCTTGACTCGTCCTCTCTGTTTAGGTTTTGTTCTCCTCATTTTTCCCGTCCTGCACGTCTGTTCCATAGCATTGTCTCTTTAGCAACACCATCCATGATGTTTTGTCTTCTACAATGTGACGTCCTGCCGCTCTGCTCAGTTTGTCCTCTCTGTCTCTTTCTGACAGAAGACTCTATCTGCCCTTCAGGTGAGAGTGTCATAACTGGTAACTAAACCTAATCTTCAGCTATTAATCCATCAATAAAATCTGATTTCTCCCACTGCCTCTCTCACTGGCATCACTTTGCTCTTTAAAGGTTTGGCCTCATGTGTTTGCGTCGATCTGTTTTTGTTTATAAAGCCCAGCTTGGTCACAGTCCCATTAAAACAGCCAGAAACACAGCTGTCTTCAATGCCCCGTGGCCCAATTACATCCGTACGACTCCTCGTGGGACAACCAACCGAGCAGTTGTTTCTTTCTCTTGCTCCGTTTATCAGAGAACAAGCACAGAACAGATGACACTCCCTGGCCAGGTTCAGGGTTGGAATCTGCTTTTTCTCCCGTCAGACGGATCAGACTTACCGAAATGGAGAGTTTTATTATTTTGTTGCTGTGGAGAGTTTGGCAGCTTTCTACATCTCTTGCTGCAATTATTAACTCAGAGAAAAACAAAGAATCACATTAAAAAGTGTATGCTAGGATAAGTTGTGACTGTAGTTATGGGTAAAAACACTGTTATATGTATATATATAGATATATATATATATATATATATATTTATATATATATATATATATATATATATATATATATTCTGTCTGATCTGGTCTAATTTGCAATTTGTGTTTTGTCATTTATGATTTTAATCCATTTATTGTTTAGATGCCTCCTGTTTTTTTCATTTTATTTTATTGTTAAAGACTGACCAGGTCCTTTTCCAACAAGAATCAAACATACAAATAAACATCTAAATATCTGATTATTTTTACCTCCAGACTGATTTTAAAGCCACTTCTCAATTAAAGAAATATCTCAAATATGTATTCTTTTATATCACCACATCTCTGATGAATAAGTCTAAGACAAAATGGCCGTACTTCTTAATTGCTTTGTCTTGATAAACCTTTTTTCAATTTTATCATCTCTGTGGCTATTTTCAAGTGAGTAGCAAAAGAACTTTTCCATTATTCCCATTAATCCTCACATTTATATTCTTAGTCTTGTGAGCTGTAAAGAGCTTTTTCTGAACTTCTGTAGGAGGAAACAGAGACGAGTGAAGTGATTGAAGGCCTCATCAGGTCAGCATGATGAACCTTGTCTCATTTCAGCTGCATGTTCATTTAAATGGCGTTAAGGTCAAATAATGCAAACATTAAACTTTAGCTCTACTTTTTTTTGAACATCCGTGAGTTTGCAGGATTGTGTTCAGCTTCAGATCCACCAAATGTGGTTTAAAAATAGAGCCAGTGATGGATGAAATTAGGCTTTTAAAACAGAAGAGCGGTGTTCATCATGTGGAGTCTGATTCAACCTGTTCTGAGGCCAACCTGCTTCTTGTAAAGTCCGGCAAACTGCAGCAGGTCAACACAAAGTTGTGTTTTGTTCCCCCCCCCCGCGCTCACTCGTGGAGCTTCCATTCCTCTTCAGCAGCTTTAGTTCACTTCTGTGGGAGAACACCAACAAAAGCTGTGCTTCTGTTTTCTGTCCTTTTCCCAGCAGCACTGTGAGGAGAGCCAACTCGAACGAACACGTAGGGACTCTAACTCGTAAGGATTCAGGCGACTCTAAGGGCAACCGAACCAGGGCCGGGTCCACCGGCAGCAGCTCCAGCAGCAAACGGAGCGACAGGTAGCCGAGCGTGTTTTTCTCCTGGGCTCAGTGAGATGGAAGGCTACTCTTGTTTTCAATCTTCTAGTCCGGGGGTCTGCAACCTGCGGCTCTGGAGCCACACGCGGCTCTTTGGCCCCTCGGCGCGGCTCTTTCAAGCGTTGATCAAAACTAACTTTAAACTGAATTTTATTGGTTCTTATAACAACAAAAAGGACTGGTTTTAGCAGTTTTTTCTGTCATTTGCTTTGCAAATATGTGAATACTAGAACTAATAGGAGTAAAACATACTTTAACTTTATTTAGTTGCAGTAGGATACTTAATTTTTCCACAATTAAAATAATTTACCTAGACCTGCATAGTTAATTGTTATATTTTTTATTGGGAAAGAACATATTTTTCCTTCTTTACAAGAATCTTGTCTTTTTTTTTTGTCTGAAAATGTACAAATATTAACAGATCATTAGGTATTTTCAGCTACTGGTCAGAAATTTGTCCTCCAACAAACTTAAAGTGGTCTGAGGGCCGCCAGTTGAGAATCCCAGTTGTAACAGGTTTAGTGGCTCCGGACACGTTTCATTTAGTGAACAAAGGCAGAAATGGCTCTTTTGATTGTAAAGGTTGCAGACCCCTGTTCTATAGTCTAACCGAGCAGGAAACGCACAACACGAAGAGGTGATTTGACATTCTGAGTTGGGGTGCTGATTGACAGCTGTGTGTTTACTCGTTTACTTTGCAGCAAACAGAAGGATCCAGTGTTCAACGCAGGTAAGAGTCTGCAGACCTTTGAGTTTCCCTGCTCCAACAAAAATCAAACGCTCAGTGGTTCTCTGTGTCTGTAAAGTGATTTAAGATTCACGTCTAAAGACATTATGGAGTGTTTATCTCATTTTGAAAGAAGCATGCAGCACACAGAGGACCACTCCGAGTTGTGACGTCCCGTCTTAAATGTCCAAACATTCACGTTGTTTCCCATGATTTCACGTTTAACCTCATCCATCTCTGCATCCTCACACCCAGCTTCTCATCCTCATGAACCTCTTCTATTTGGTTTCACTTTAAAGAAGCTTTTACAACAGTTTTTGTAAGAAAAGTGCTCAAATGTGACTTTAACACATCTTCAATAGTAGCAGGAGCCTGCTGGGGTTTATTCAGTCGGATGTAAACTTTACATAAATACATGAATGCATTTTTCTTTGAATGCAGCCAGTAGTTAACTATTAATGTGCAGCATCTGGAGCATTTATTTCCAACTGGACCAAATAGTTTCAGAGTAACAGGAACAAAATAAATGTGTTTAAAAATTCTTAAATTACTCTTCTGAGCCTCTATAACAAAAGTGTTGCGTGTCAGCAGCGGTAGTTGTTGAAACAGAGCAGGTTTTATGTTTTTATCAATGCTTTTATCTTTATTTTTTTAAGATTTCAAGACTATTTAAAGCTAAGAAATGCACAAAGATAAGCCTGAAGTTTGTCTGACTGCACCATCATAGTTTATTCAAACAGGAAGCAGGAAGTGGAGCGGGACTGGTTCTGAAATGATCAGAACCTCCATTCTCAGCACACAAAGGATTTTCCTGTAAACTGAACTGATGCACGAAAAAAAGTCTGAATCCAGACTTTTTACAGGATAATATAGACAATTAACAAAAACAGCTTCAACAGTCTTCTGTGCATATTTTAGAAAAATGCAAACTATTATATGTTTGTATATTATGTGCATTTATGGGTTGAAATGTTGCTGAAAATGTCAAGCATGCTGATCATTTCAGGCAACCGGAGCATCAAATACAAAATAAGGCTAATCAAAATAAGTGAAATGAGATTTTATGCAGAAAACGTCACTTTGCTTTAACTGATTTTACCTTAAATTAAGCTTTTTTTCTTTATTTAAATGAGACGTTTGATCAGTTTTGTGCCTGAAGCTGGTTAAACACGAGTTGCAGTAGGTGCAGGAGAGGCATTTAGCACAAGCTGCAGAGAAAACGAGCGCTGATTGAGCGGACGAATTCGGGTTTGTTGAAAACGTCTCGGACAGATGTTGAGCAGCAAACAGGAAGTGCTCTCACATTAGGACACACCAGCAGGTGAGAAGTGACCGCCCTTCATCTGGTGCTTGTGTGTCTCTCTGTGACCTTTACAAGGGATGCGACGTGTGACCCACTGCAAAGGTAGGCCAGGCCCCGTCTTCCCCGACTCACCCTGACCCCCACCCCTGTCGTCACAGAGACATTTCGCCTTTACTCCTAGTTGGAGTGTTAAAAATACACGATTTGGATATTTTAAATCTAAATTTCACCTAAAATTTTAGAGCACTGTCCAGATGAGGGCAGGAGTGGGACAAACTGTGTTTGAACGTTGCTTCCCCCTTCAGACGCTGTAACTGCTGAATGAACTCACAATCGTCAACGCTGCGCCCACAGTTGTTGCACTTTACGTGTTGTTTGATCTCAGATGAAGCTGCTCCACCAGACTTGTCTGTTTGCTCACATTTTGTCACTATAGCAACAGCGCCAAGATGTTTCTGCAAGTTGTCCATTTCCCACAGCTGTGGTTCTCACCCTGCCCACTTTCTGTCAGTCTTTCCTTTTAGAGTTTCTCAATATTTTATCCTGTAGTCCTCTCACACGTGCACTTTAACATGTTTTCGCAACTCTGTCTAAAATGCCCGACTGTGATTTACTTAAATGCATTTAACTCGTTTTATTTCAGCGACGTTACACATTTTACCAGGACATTTTCAAATATACGTTCTAATTTTAAAAATTTGAGACGCGTCTGGAAAACATTTCTTACATTTCATTGGATATATTTTGTCCGTGCTGTGAAATTTGGTGCCGTTTAAAGAGAAATTATTTATTTTTGCAACATAACACGCCATCTACTCTAAGGAGACAAAACATTATGACTATATAGGTGGGTTCGGAGATGCAGAATCACGATCAGCAGCAGATATACATCAAATTTGAGGTCAAACTCTGCAAGTTATTTCTAGTTTTTTACTCCTCCAACTACAGCTTTGTAATAATATTTCAGACTGTAATGATTCCAAGCAACATGCTTCCTTCCTCCTTCTAGCCTAGTTTGGTGGTTTCAAACTGTTTTCACTTAATGTAACACAACCCTTTCTTCTGTGCGCCTCCTGGTCCTCCCCTTACTCACGGCCCTTCTCCATCACGGCCTCCCCTGCTCCTTACCCCACCTGCATCAGTCACAGTACAGATTTACCTCAGCCGCTCCACCACGCAGATGGGAAGCAGCCACCTCCCTGCAGCTTTGGTTCTAACGACTCCTCCAGCCAACAAATCCCACCAAGGCTCAGAAAGCAGCCGGGGCCGAAAGGGCGGCGCTGTCGGGGTGTCCTCTACCAGAAAGATCCCAAACTGTAGCCTCCTCCAGCTGAGGAGGTCAGGGAGTCTCACAGCTCCTCTTGATACTCCGAGCTACCGCAGCCCCGTTAAATCCCCCAGCCAGTATTTCCAGATTTGTTACTAGCTTAATAAATATGAACACGACATAGCAGAGCACTGACGTCTCAATATGTTAGTGATTAGTTGGGTTTTCAAACTGTGGAGCCAAACCGGTGGTTTTTATGGCAGATGTGAATAATAGTAATAATAATGTTTCATGTTACTTTCATCATAAAAGCTTTTAAATTAAAACAAGATTCACACCTAGCACATAAATTATTTTAATTATTTATCTAAATTGTTTTTGTTGACACGTCTGTTTTGTTCCATTTTTGTTTTCTGCATGTTATTTTTATTTTATTTTTAGGGTTAAAACTTCTTTTTTTTTTTTGGTCTCGTTCTTTTCATTTCTGAGCATTTTCGTTGCTCTGCTTGTGTTTGCATTTCCCTCTGTTTGAAACTGAATCCTGACGAGTTTTGGGGAGATTTTAACGGTGTTTGCGGTTTATTTCTGTGCCCCGTGTTGTCAGAAAGATGTGTTTTGAAGTGAACTAATAAAAGCAAGTTTAAAAAGGAAAACTGGTGTCTCTGCAAGTTCTGTCATTTTCTGCTTTTTGTTGTTTCCATTCAATATAATCCATCGCATATTCCCACTTTTATCCTTTGATCATCTCATACATCCAGTGTTAACATTCAGTTTGTGCCCATAACAAACCTAATCTGACGAAATAAGGCTTTATGTGTCTCAATGATGGTTTCTGTTGCCCTTTTTTAGAGGAGGGTTATGTGAAAATGTACTTGAAGGGTCGTCCCGTCACCATGTACATGCCCAAAGACCAGGTGGACAGCTACAGCCTTGAGTCCAGAGGAGAGCTGCTCGCTAACAAACTCAAACTGGACTGGGTGTATCCTTTTACCTGAAACTTGAACTGGAAGTGTCAAAAGAGTCGAGCTGCTCCGGTTTTTACCAGCGTGGTGATGCTCTCTGCAGCCTGGAGTCAGAAATAACCTGCGCACAGCTGGCGGGCCGATGGCGCAGGCAGTCAGCAGCTCCTCTTGTGCTGCTTGATTTTTATGTGGCTTCGTTTGTGAGCATCTTTTGTTCTGTTTGTTGCTCAGGGGTGAATGTGGCGTGTTGTTCAGTAGGCTAGAAATAAAAATGGAAAAATGCTGTTAGGCAAAAAACAATGAATACATAACAAATGTGAGGAGAAAAGCATGAACCAAACACCAAAGTAGATATTCATGTTGCCTAGTTTGTGTGCTGGATCTGGTACTTTAATGTTTTATTTATGTGCAAAAACGGAATAAATATGGCATTAGAGGATTAGCACTACAGTGGGTATCCAGTTATTTGAATAATAGGAGACAGTTTGTACAAGTAAACAATGTCAGGTCTGAATTTTGTGTTAATGGATGTGGAGTTTCTCAAGGCTCTGTGTTGGGAACAAAGTTGTTTATTTTGTATGTGAGTGATCTGGTTGATGTATTTCGTTTGAAGATGATACAACATTTTTTGTTTTGGTGAAGATATTGAACAGATGTTAGAGATGATACAGGCAGAATTCGTAAAAATACAAACTTGGTTCCAACTTAATAAGTCATCATTAAATTTGGAAAAAACAAACTACATGATATTTAGTAATAGAAAAAAATTATCTAAGTCCCATTTAAAATTGACAGTACTGAAATTCATAAAGTTAATGAAATAAAATTTGGGGTGTTGTTATTGATGAGAAGCTGACATGGAAATCTCATGTAAATTACTTAAGAATAAAAATAGCAAAATTTATTACATTACTGCATAAAGTAAAATAGTTTTTCGATGACAAAGCTTTCTATATATTGTATAATATAATGATTGCTCCATATTTAATCTATTGTAATGAAGTATGAGGGAAAGCATGCAAAACAATTACAAATCCTATTTTTATTTTACAATAAAGAGCTATAAGAATTATTAATAGGAAGTGCTATGGTAACTCAACAAATATATTATTTCATCAGCTGAAATTATTAAAAATTTTATGATTTAGTTGAATATAGTATTTTACAAGTCATGTATAAAGCTCGTAAAATATATTACCACCAAATATTCAATTGAAATTTGTTAAAAAAAAGAGTCATTATAACTTTAAGGGAATGGAAATGTTTGTAAAACCTCAATTTAGAACTAGTCTGAAGGAGCTGCGTTGTAATTCAGGGAACCTTGATATCATAAAAATTTCTAAAACCGTTTCTATGTTTAAAAAGATGATTAAGGTAAATTTTTTGGGAAAGTATGGTGCCATGCGAAGGATGCCTAATATTTTTGTTTTTGCTTTGGAGATTGTTTTTATTTGTAATGGATTTTTTTTTTTTTTGTATTGAATGAATAAATTAATAAATGAAATGAAACGTGCATCCTGACTTCTGTCTATTCAATCCTTTAAAATGTTTTGATGCCTGATCTGTAAAAACCTTGTCACTCCTTGACCCTTGATGCTCAGCTATGGATACCGTGGCCGAGACTGTCGCTCCAACCTTTACCTGCTTCCCACCGGAGAGACGGTGTATTTCATCGCCTCTGTGGTCGTCTTATTCAACGTGGACGAGCAGCTGCAGAGACACTACACGGGACACACAGACGACATCAAATGGTGAGGGACGAATCACGCTTGAGATGCACTTTTTGTGTTATTTGCACCACTAAAGCAAAGGCCAATAAAATGTTAACAGTTTGTTTTACAGATCAAAAGATTCCTGCAGATGGACCACTTTACTTAAAACAGAATAAATGTATTTTAATGCGCCTCAGTTTCCCCTCGTGCATCAGCGCAGGCAGCTTTCAGCCTTATGTTGCTCATCTTTATTAAAAAGGTGTTTTGATGTCTAGCTGTTCTTGTTTTTACTGCTTCATCAGCCTGGCTGTCCATCCTGATAAAATCACCATAGCAACCGGGCAGGTAGCAGGCACCTCATCAGATGGGAAAGTAAGCGAGATCTCTATAGAGGCTGTTGAAACATTCAGAGTTCCTGCAGATGATTTGCCTGAGCTGCTGTTTGTTTGTCCTGACAGATGTTGGCTCCTCACGTTCGTGTCTGGGACTCTGTCAGCCTCAACACCCTCCACGTTCTGGGGACCGGCTTCTTCGATCGGGGACTCGTCTGCCTGGCTTTCTCCAAGTCGGTACGGAAACGCAACAAACTCTTTTATAAAACCTTCTCCGCTCAGTTCGTACCCACGTTTCAGGACGTGCTCTGTTTTCCAATGTCAGAACGGAGGAAACACTCTTTGCGTCGTGGATGACTCCAACGATCACGTCCTGTCTGTCTGGGACTGGCAGAGAGAGGACAGACTGGCTGAAGCTAAGGTCTGTGTGTCTTCACAGCTTTAATCTCCTCTGATGTTTCTCCGTTTAAGCTGAATTTGTGTGTCTGCTCAGTGCTCCAATGAGTCGGTGTTCGCTGCAGACTTTCACCCAACTGACAGCAACAGCGTAGTGACCTGTGGCAAGTCTCATCTTTACTTCTGGACCCTGGAGAAAGGAGGCACGCTGGTGAAGAAGCAAGGACTGTTTGAGGTAAACACTAATGAAAAAAAAACTTTTTTAATTCATATAGCCTGTAACAATCAATGATGGTTCAACTATTTTAAACCACTCCTTCATGCAGTGTTGTATAAAGTACCTCAAAGTGATACTTCAGTGAAAGTACAAGTGTCTTACCATCAAGTTATAGTCTCCTTTAAAATTATTACTTGAGTAAAAAATCTTAAAGTATCTGACATTTAACGTACTTAAGTATCAAAAGTAAATTTCTCTTATAAAATGTACTTAAAGTAAGAAGTAGAATTTCCAAAACAACATTTATTGGGTGCAATATTCAGTGACAAAAACTTGGAAAGTTTGAACTGAACAATGAAAAGTGCTCTTTAAAAAGTCTGATTCTAATGAAGTATATTCATTTAACCTTTATTAACCTTTATTAACATTTATTAACCATTATTAACCTTTATTCACAAAGCTGTTAGAAAGCTCACATTGTTGTGGAGTTGGTTTATTTACTGAGCTCGGTTCTGTTTGGTCATGGCTTGCTTCTTTCTGAATTTAATAGTTCCTATGCTCTTGAATGCACCGTGGCTGTTCCAACGCTAGTGAACGCACCGCTCTGTGTAAAGTGCAGAGCTCTGTTGGAGTTTTTTTTTCTCTCCTGACACGGATGGAGCCTTGTTGTTCAAGCTTGTTTGTGCTTAACTGGTTTACTGTTGAGTGTAAATGCCAGAAGAAACACAGAAAATAAATCACCCTAAACTGGATATCTGTCTCTGTGTTCTTTAATGGGAAGATTAGACAACTTCATACCTTGCTGCTCTAACCAATTAATGCCCTGGAGAACACAAAACCTCTCCTTTTTAGCAACTACCATCATTTTCACAACTATCAGGAATTTATAGTGGCTCCACTGTGAGTCAACAAAGACCTATTGTAACGACTGATGTCTGCATATGCATCTAGCTTGTTCACAGTTTTCACACAAGCGGAGGGGAAGGGGCTTGTGAGTGAGAGAAGGGGCCACGTGAAGTCACAGACTGGGAGAACAAGCAGGCATTGCCCAATCAGATTTCTTCTACGTTTATATTGTAGGAACAAGTAACTAAGATGGTTAAGGGAAATGTATTCAAGTAAAAGTACACACTTTTATTGAGGAAATGTAGTGGAGTAAAAGTGAAAGTCGCCAGAAATTTAACTAACAAAGTAAAGTAAAGATATGTCAAAATTCTACTTAAGTACAGTAACAGAGTATTTCTACTTTGTTCCATTACAACGCTGCCTTCGTGTTTGTCTCGTATTTGCTGCAGAAACACGAGAAGCCCAAGTTTGTATTGTGCGTGAACTTCGCTGAAAATGGAGACACCATCACCGGAGACTCGAGCGGAAACATCCTGGTGTGGGGAAAAGGTAACAGAAAGTCATCTTGTCTGCAAGAGAAAGTAAACCTGTGAGGGTTTTTGAGGTCATGAGCAGTCAGGAGATCAGGGGTCACTCTGAACTTCCCATCTGTCTGTGCGTTTTATCTATTGATTACCCTTCTGTTTGCTTGTCTTCCACTTCCTTAAGCGCTCAAACTCTGTCCTCCTTCCTCTCACCCCATCTCTGTCCTGCAGGCACTAATCGCATCAGCCACGTCATCCCAGGAGCCCACGTGGGCAGCATCTTTGCTCTGTGCATGCTGAGGAACGGCACGCTGGTGTCTGGAGGGAAGGACCGCAGACTCATCTCATGGGACAGCAGCTACCAGCAGGTCCAAACAGTGGAGGTCAGAAACCAACAACACACAGTGCGCCTTATAGTCCAAAAAATATGGTAAAGGAAAAACATGGAGGTGGAGTTATTATGGTTTTTGGCTGCTTTTGACGTTTGATGTTTCTTTTACAAATAATTTCGCATTGAATAAAGAATGATCTGAGAAAAATCAATGGAAGTCTAACTAAAATAATACATTTAGTGGGATGATAGCCACCAAATTATTATCAGACTCTGTAAAAGTGGATATATTACAAGGTAGTATTTATTTATTTATTTATTTGGATTAAAGAAGATATTAATAGCTTGTGTGCTGGCTTTTCAGTAGCAATGAAATAAATGTTCATCCTAAAACGGTAATAAAAATGGCAACAGTTTCAAACGACCATTTCAAGTTATCATCACTATAAAAAAGTTGTGTTTTATTTTCATGTCCTTCTTTTTAAGTAGCTACTGTTTGATTTAATGAGACAGAAATGAAACTATCACAGGCTTTTCATCCCGGCGCTTCTTTGCTTCTATTCTGAGGTGGATGAGCTCGTTTATGACAATGATGCTTCTGGTTTGTTCATGACTCGTTTGCTTCACTGAAATCCTTTCATGCAGAGTGAGGTCAGATGGCACTGCGGGCGGTAAGTGTTGCTTCCTCTCTGCAGGTGCCTGAATTGTTTGGTCCCATCCGGACCATCGCAGAGGGGAGACGGGAGACGGTGCTCATCGGGACCACCAAGAACTTTGTTTTACAAGGCAGTTTGGATGGAGAGTTCACGCCTATTACACAGGTAGACATGACAGTCTGTGATCGCGTCTTCATTTTATAAGATTGTTTAGTCGTCGTTTAAAAAAAAAACTCGTCTCCAGGGTCACATTGATGAGCTGTGGGGTCTGGCAGTTCATCCCTGGAAGTCTCAATTCCTGACCTGTGGATATGACAGACAGGTTTGTCTGTGGGACTCAAACACCCATCAGCTCATCTGGACTAAAAGTTTGGAAGTAAGTTGGACTAACACCGCCCCCCTGCGGTCATTCATGGGGAATTACAAGTGATGACTTGACCTCGGGGCATTATTGTCTTTGAGAACAAGAACTGTGCATTTAAGAAAACTAAAACATATTATTAACTAAAACAGGTTTCTTTGTAACTTTGTGCCTATTTTTTTTATAAGGATACAGCCCAGTCAGCAGGTTTTCATCCATCAGGAGCTGTGGTTGCCATAGGAACCCAAACTGGCAGGTACAAACACGTTAATATAATCTATCTATTGATAGCTAGTTTGAAAGTATAAATGTAAAGCATTTGTACTGACAAGAATCTGGCAGAAAGCTAAGTCTGTGACTGATCCTGCAGGTGGCAGGTGCTGGAAACGGATTCCAAGGATCTAGTTTGCGTCCACACGGATGGGAATGAGCAGCTGTCTGTCATGCGTTACGGGCCAGGTACGTTATCTTACTCCTGCGGTTCCCCCTCAGCCTTGTTCTGTTTTTGTTTTTAGTGCTTGGACCTCCTGAGTAATGCTAACAACATCAGGGTCAGAAATCAAAGGATGAGGAGAGTTCTGGTTTTAGAGTAATATCATTAATAATGATAATAAAACATGTTGTCATGTGCTTGATGAGAACGCTCCATAAATTATTTGGTCTGATTTAAACTCGCCTAAAGCCAGGCTGAGATTCTGGTGGAACGAGGGGATTTGGTGGAAAACTATGCAGCTGTTATTCACATGGATGCTACAGTGGCCACCTATCTCTTAGTGGGAATGAATGAATGAATGAAGCATGTAAAAACAAACAAAAAATAATAATTTATAATTTCCAAGGCCATCAACAAAGACTTAAGCAATGAGATCTGCTGACTATGATCCACAGTCTGAGGGATCTATTTACTAAAGCCCTGATATGTGAACGTCTCAGGACTCTCCCTCCTCTTCTTTGTTGATGTCCTAAGAGAGGAACAACAAAAATGTAGATCTCTTTTTGTGACGCATTAAGAATTTAATTCTTGCATTCCTTCCTGTATTCTGCACTTTTAGACGGTAACTTCCTGGCTATCGGTTCCCACGACAACTACATCTACATCTACGCCGTGGCAGAAAACGGGAGGAAATACAGTCGAGTTGGAAAGTGTTCGGTGAGCGCCTTCATTCATTTCTGCTTCGCACTGGGTTTATACAGAAGTTTACAACATCTGGCTCACACGCACCTCTGTGTGGGTGCATTAACTAAGATTATGTTTATGGTTCATTAACTTCCACACTGCCTTTTGTTGTCATTTTAACGTTGTTCCTACTCATTTCTCCTCAGGGTCATTCCAGTTTCATCACCCATTTGGACTGGTCAGTGGACTCCCAGTACCTGGTGTCAAATTCAGGCGACTATGAGATACTGTACTGTAAGTACAGCCGCTGCTTGTTCCCATCTCAACCTGAGAGCATCTTTGGGAAGAAATGGTGTTAAAGCTATTCTGGACCAAAAAGACTCTTATGTCCCACAAGAAATACACTGAGAAATGTAGATCTTTTTAAATTGGTTTTGACACAATTAGCTTTTTTATTGCTTCAAACTTTTTGGTATTTTCCAAATAAGACAGTTTTATAAAGCGAGTAATAACATTTTGTATTTTCTCCTTTTCATTCTTTGCTCTGGTCTTCAGGGATCCCATCAGTGTGTAAACAGGTGGTCAGTGTGGAGACCACCAGGGACATTGATTGGGCCTCCTACACTTGCACTTTGGGCTTCCAGGTGTTCGGTAAGTGACGGCTCGGTTCCACCCCCTGCTCTAATGCGTTTGAGCTGTAAAATTTAATTCTGCCATTTCTCAGGACTGTGGCCCGACGGGTCAGACGGCACCGACATCAACGCAGCGTGCAGGTCCAACGACAAGCGCCTCCTGGCTACCGGGGACGACTTTGGGAAGGTCCATCTCTTCTCGTACCCCTGCTCACAGTACAGGGTAATAAAATAAAAAATAAAAATCATAAGAATGAGTATCGTGTTTTATAGGTTTGGGTTGATTATTATGAATAAGTGTGTTTAAATGTCTCTTTCAGGCTCCCAGCCACGTTTACGGTGGCCACAGCAGTCACGTAACCAACGTGACCTTCCTGTTTGACGACAGCTGCCTGGTGTCGACTGGTGGGAAGGACATGAGCGTTTTGCAGTGGAGGATAGTCTGAGGCCAAACGGAGACCAGAACCAAACTGTACTGAACTGCACTAAGACAAAAACCTTAATGAACTTTAATTAAAGTGGATCTGATGAGATCTAACGGAGGAGACACCAAAAGGTTCTGCTCAGATGCTTGAAATCACTTTTTTTTTTTTTTAATTCACACGACATGAACAAATAAAAACCTCCCTCTCGCACGAGACAGAACAAGTCCAACCAAACAGAACCAAAGGCTCTGACTTTATTTGGTTCTTTGCGGCGCAGATCCTGGTTTCAAGACGCCTGTTGGAGCCGATCCAGATTGATGAATGGAGTGATTTATGGGGGGGGGCTTTTCTAACCGTTAACTTTTATTTTGTATTTAACAACTCAGGAAAGCATTAATGAAGCAAAGCCCTTTTCTCTTCTGAACATTTCAGGAAAAAATACATTTTCAAAGACATCAGTGTTTGACCATCTAGTTTCATTGTTGCGGATTAGTTTGCATTGACTAGTTTAGTGCATCATAACAGCAGTGGAGCTTTATCCAGAAAAAATAAATAACATGCAGATGTGATCACCTGCACACAATCTGAGCAACCGTGCTTCCTGTTCTAAAAACAAAAAAAAAACGCTCTTTTTCTGGGTTTTTAATGAATATATTTCAAATCCTTCACTGCCAGTTTTTCCACCTTTAAACCGTCTTCAGCAGTAAATCCTTGTGTTGTCCCAAATGATCAAGTTTACTGAAAGAATATGTAAAATTTAAGAAAAAAATATGGGAGAAGATTTTGAAACTGGTTTATCTTCTGTCTCAAATGCATAAAGTGTCAAAATCAATAGGGAGCTTTTTAAAAGTCTATAGTTTTTGTTGTTTTTAAGATCGGTGGATGAGGAGGAGGGACGAGGCCGTTGCACTGTAAACGTCTGACAAGATATTTAACTGAAACAAACCATCTTCGTTGTTTTTTTATTTCTCGTTAATGCACTGCATCCAACAGGTCTGATGTTCTGTTCAGCACCAGATGGACCTGCTCATTGTTCTGCTCGTTAATAAAACCTGTAGTTGTCACTGAAAAACCCAGAATGATTAAAATGATATTTGATTTTAATGTGAACGTCACTGCTGCTGCTGTCGTCTTGTTTTCAAGTCTTCAAGTTTGATTCATCAGGTTAAACCACAGCGAACATCTTGTCTCTCCACACGTGACGCTTCAGATTCCAAACTATTTGACGTCTGCCATAAAGTAAAGTCTCAAATATTTTTCTTGGTGTCTGTTTTTGAACCATATATGGTATGGTCCATACCATACCCTTAACGTGTTTTAGACGTGATGAGCAAAAGATCAAAGAAAAATTAAAAAATATTTCATACCCTAAAGCTAAAATATTGAACGTCCCTCATTTCAAGGTGGAGGACAGGCTGCCAGGTTTACTGTATTTTGATTTACAGTAGCCAAATAGTTTCCCAGAATGCATTGTGACAATAGCTTATGTTATAATACAATAATTTTATTGAGAAAACAAGTCTGAAAAACTGAGAAATACTTTTAACAGTAATGAACCGTTTGCAAAATAGTAATTATATCGTCAAAGCTACGGAAATTATGTGTGTGTGTTTATTTATTTTTAACTAATCTAATTTTGATTTTCTTCTTTTGTTTTGATGAAATTTCATTTTGTCATGCTTTGGCTGAATATTTGAGTTTTATTTCACACACACAAAAAAGTGTACCTTTTTTCTATCTACAGGTGCTGGTCATAAAATTAGAATATCATAAAAAAGTTGATTTATTTCAGTAATTCCATTCAAAAAGTGAAACTTGTATATTATATTCATTCGTTACAGACTGATATATTTCAAATGTTTATTTGTTTTAATGTTGATGATTATAACTGACAAATAATGAAAACCCCAAATTCAGTATCTCAGAAAATTATAATATTACTTAAGACCAATTTAAAAAAAGGATTTTTAGAAATGTTGACCAACTGAAAAGTATGACATGAAAAGTATGAGCATGAAAAGTATAAACATGAAAAGTATAAAC